GCACGTGAGGAGGCTGATCAGAACATCACAAGCAGTCAGAACTAGGCTCTAGTTCACAGAACCTTTTCCAGCTACAAAGTAAGCTTCTGCTACTCTCATCATATTACTTAGACATTGTTAGACTTGCATGTTTAAAAATACAATATAGACATTATGAATCTGATGTTGTACATATTCATAAATTTCATGTATTTTTTGCCTAAGTAGAGAGAATTTCAGTTCAGAACTTCTTGAGGAAATTAGGATTCAGAATTAGGATTAGAAAAATTCATGCTTGCTTCTGATTTATAGTTCTGATATCTTATATTTCTGAAACATGATGAAACCTGTAATAATTGCTATGTGTGCATTTTATGTTTTGTTGAGAAATGACTAAGTTGCAGATGCTCGGACTAGCATGGAGAAGGAGATGAAGTTCATCATCAGAGTTTACTTGGTCATACATGTTTATGCTTTTGCTTCTAATACCGAATGTATAGCCACCCCAGTGGTAGGAAGCGTGCGCATAAGACATTAGTGTTAAGGGTCATGGGTTCTAGCCTCAGAAGCATCTTTTTTAGGTTCATTTATTGACATTTTTACCCATTTATTTATCAGAAAATATTCCTAGACCAGAACTTCTAGATATCCTCACCCAACAACATTATCACCTTACTTTCTCAAATAACCAGAACTTCTGACTTGCCAGTGATATTAGAACTTCTAGATTCCCAGCTGCGCTAGGGCTTCTAGACTCCCTCAGCAATCAGAACTTCTAAGGTTTCCTATGTTCCCAGCAACCTTAGAACTGTGGCGTACCCAGACCCAGAACTTCTGACCTTCTATTTTCCTACTAACATTTTCTTTCTTACAGCGCATCAGATTCAGAACTTATGTTCGCTCTCATTTCAGCAACGTGTTGATTCTGATCCCTTTTCCCCTTATTATTTTATTTTGTCTTTAATAATAAAAGAAACACCAAAAATATATTTTTACTTTATTTTATCTCTTTTAAAACCAAAAGATCAAAAATATTTTCTTAAGCAAATTTATTTCTTCTCTTAACAAAAACAAAACAAGTTTATTTATTCATTTCAATATGATTGTAATAGATAATTAGGACTTTAATTTCTTGCAATCTCCATTTATAAATTTTTACATCACATCCCCCTAATGATTGTAATAGCATAGAACATTTATTTTCCGCAATCTATCGCTTTCATATAAATGCTAGTAAAGTAGGATTTGTATGAGAAGATAAAAACAACAAGTAGACAACCCTAATCAAAGACTAAATGCATGCAAATCAAACACGCTATTCACACATGCACCCCTAGTGTTAACTCCACTTGTTACCTAAAAATGGTCATGTTATACATGTGAGATGTCTTAGCAAAAACAACTGAAATACAAGATCATAGTTCCTCGATGACGCTACGAATGTTGCCTTACAAATGATCTTAGTCACTCAAAGAGAAATGCTAAGACATCTTACAACATTGCTATCATGACCATACGATGACTCACGCCCGTCCCTTTACATCCAAAGATAAGGCTTTCTACTAATCAATGGTAAGATAGAAATATTAAAGGAAAGGAAGAAATGAACAAAAGACTTTTGAGTAGGTAGAGACGTTCTTAGTTGTTTGCTCACTTTCAAAACAAACACACACTTTCAAAACAAACACCAAACACTTTCCATGAAATATTTTCAAAAGTCCAACACTTTGTATACGTTCTTGCCGAAACGAGAATTGTTATAAAGTTTGCCTAAACGAAGGCGCCTTTTCAAAAATACTTTCAAAAACCACCACAAAGCACATTTTCAAACAAAGCAAGTGATCTAGAAAGCAACTAAGAGTCTATAGATAACTATGGATGAAAATGGTGCTAATACCTTCCCTTTTCATAATCTACCCCCCGAACTCAAGAAATAATCTCAAAGGTCTTTCCTATTCATTTCACCCCTTCCTTCATTGGATAAAAGTAAATTCGGTGGCGACTCTTGCTAACCGCAACAATTGCAATCAAACGCAAAACATCCCAAGTCAGTTCTCCCACTGTATTACAGTATGGAAAGATAAAATCAATATTTAGAAAACCCTAATCCGAGATAAACTCAATCATGGAATACAATACACTTGCACACTTTGCACCTCTAAGGTTTACTCCACTTTGTTGCCTTAAAAAAGGTCATGTTATGCATGTGAGACATCTTAGCAAAAATAATCAAAAATACAAGATCATAGTCCCTCAATGACGCTACAAATATTGCCTTACAAATGATCTTAGTCCCTTAAGAAAAATGCTAAGATATCTCACTACATTGTTATCAATGACTATACAATGACCCATGCATGTCCCTTTACATCCAAAGATAAGGCTTCTTACCAATCAATAGTAAGATAGCAATATCAAAGGAAGGAGGAAGTGAACAAAAGAATTTTGAGTAGGTAGAATATTTTTAGTTGTTTGCTCACAAACCATCTTCAAAAACAAAACATCTTTTCAAAACACACCAAACACTTTCAAAAATATGAAATATTTTCAAAAGTCCAACACTTTGTATGCATTCTTATAGAGACGAGAATCATTACAAAATTTACCTAAACGAAAGCGTTTTCAAAAACCACTACAAACATATTTCAAACAAATTAATTTCAAAAGTGAACTAGCAAGCCACTAAGAGCCCGTAGATAACTATGGAAGAAAACGATGTTAACACCTTCCTTTTTCATAAACTATCCCCCGAACTCAAGAAAATATCTCAAAGGTCTTTCCTGTTCTTTTCACCCTTTCCTTATTAGATAAAAGAAAAGTCGGTGGCGACTCTTGCTATCCGCAACAATTGCGATAAAACGCAAAACACCCAAGACAGTTCTCCCACCGTATCACACATTGCTTTAGATTTAAAATTTCTTAGTGTAGTTAAGCCACGCGAATTCTATCACCTCTCATGAATCGATCTTTGAGATCATTCCACATATCCATAGCATTGTCAATGAACACCACACTTTGACCAAATGATGGTGTTATTGAATTAATAATCCATGTATGCACCATATTGTTACATCTTTTCCAAGCTACATGGTTTAAATTGTCTTCATCTGGAGCTTCTATCGATCTATCAATAAATTTAAACTTGTTTTTCATAGCTAAAGCACGCCTCATCTTCATCGACCATGCATGATAGTTATCACCGGATAACGCTGGAGTGACACACATCGTTGATGAGTTTTACGAAGGATGCGCGTAATAGGGATCAAGTTGATTCTGAACTTGATTGTTATTATTATTTATCATCATTGTGCAAGAAAGAACGGACAAAGAAAAGATGAACACAACAAGAATGAACAAAGAGAAACACAACAAAACACACGCTAGCAGTGCTTCAAGAAGAAGTAATCCACCATGAAAATGAACACAAAATTGATAAAAACTTCAAATCACAGCAGAAATAAAGCAGGACGAACCTGCTCTGATACCATCTAAGCAATACAAACCCTCATAAATGAAGTAGAAAACACCATTATAGGAGCAAAACGTACAAAGCAATGAAGAAGATGAAGAAACAATGTATTGTATTCATTAACCACAAAGTTGATTACATGCTATATATAGCGGAAGAAGTTAGTTGCAATACCTAACTATCTATAAAATTAGTTAAACGGAAATAACTAACTCATACATGTGCATGCCACGTAGTCTCAAACAACTCTTCACTATCCTTATTTTCTTCCTTGGCTGTTAAGTCAACAAAGAAGCAAAAATATAATACAATAAAAAATATAAATTTTAGCATTTTTAAGACCTTGACGTTCAACCTATTATGCAATTACAGTTGAGAGCATCTTAGCAAGTTGCTCATAACCCATTATGTGAGCAAGGTGTTTATATTCAGAAGTATTGGAAAAAAATACACGAGTTCTCTACATCTAGCACCAATCATTTATAACACTAAAAGATATCTATTAGAAATTAACTGTGTCGTTTATTACACTAGAATCATTTTTTTAATTCTACGAATTTTTTTTCTTCACACAATGGTTTTCTAAAAAAGCTAATAATGGAATGTGTAAATAAATTACTTGGAGAATACAAAAATGATTGAAAAAGAGTCAATACATTAAAGTTGTGGCTGGAGTGACATACATTAAATTAGGAGCGCTAATATTGAAGTAGTTAAGTATCTTGGCAATCATAAATGATTAGCAGAAGATAGTATCTTTGTTGCAGGATTTGAGACTAAACATTCGAGCCATGAAATAATATGGTCAATTTATCGTTATCTTGTTAAGAAGAAGATAAATAAGGTGTATTTCAGCATTATCAACTCTTGAAAAACCACCACTTTTAGGATGCAATATGTGTAAGACAAGCCAATGCAATATGCGAGGCAATTTCTTAAGGCACCCCGTAGTGATTGTCTCATTGTTGGTATTATCTCTTGGTACTTTCAACTGTTCATTTGAGTGCAATCTCCAATTGAAATCAGAGTGAAGACTTGAGTCCCTAACCATTGCCTCATTTCCTATAGTCATGTCAAAAACAGATTTCCACATATCATTTGTAAACGTGTAAGACTTACCTGTGATAGGAAAAGGGAACTCGACTTTGCTATGCTTACTCAGCCCGGTATAAAACAATTGAATCAAGTCTTCATTGTAATCCTGATTCAACTGCAGAAAGTAGTTGATTTCTTGATGATTGATTTAACTCACAACCTCAGGAATGTGAAGCTCTTCAGCAATCCTTACTTTGTAGTAGTTTTGTTTTGCCACAATCATTTCTCGACACTCCTCGTCAAAGAACTCCAAGTCCTCTTCATCAACCAAATCGAACACTGATTATGATGCTCTTCAGGAAGTGTCAACCTTTGTTTTGCCTCTACCAGCACCCTTACCTCTTGCAATCTTAGAAGCCATAAAATATTCGTCAAGCTGAACTTGCCCAAAAGGTGTTTGATATAATGCTCCAACAAAAACAGTTGGAAATTGAGAGATAATTGTTCAGCCCACAAATTACAATGATGTTATGACAGAGACAAGTGCACAGAAATAGCAAATACACAGACAATATATTGAATTTTTGGATGAGAAATGCAATGTATGGACAAGAGGAACTGTGACACAATATATTGAGTTTTGAATGAGAGTTAATTGAGAATGTTGAAGGAATTTGAGTTTAATGATTCGAATAGGATAACTTTTATGACAAAATTGATGGTGGTGAAGAGAGTTTGACCGAAATATTGTGGGTGAAAGAGAGTTTTTGGTCTGGTTCATGAATCGAAGAGATAAGGAATGAAGAGGGAAGATGAAAAAGAAAACCTATATCCTCATTTGTTTACACGTGTCGGCTTAAGTGGATTACGTGTCGGGACATGTGTTTTATGTGTCGACTTATATTGAAGTATTTACTCAGGAAGCTCAAAATTTCATTTTATTTTTCGATCTTCATGACTTTCGTGCCGACACATACTAAACCAAATTTGAAAAATTTTGAAAAATTAATTTATATGTCGACACATAGAACTTATATGTCGTCCTATACTAAATCAAAATCAACAAAGTTTAAATGTGTTAATTTCAGGCCGGCCTGATTGCACCATGTGTCGACACATGCTTGCAAGATTCAAAAGAAAAATTTGATGACACTTTTAAGCATGCTTGGAGAGATGTAACTAGACTCGTGCATGAGTGACGTTAAAATGTATGTACTTTGAACAATATTTCTTAAAGTTATGCAATTGAACAGATTAAAATACAAGAATATATACATATTATATTAAGACAAGACACCATATTTTCATAATTTGATCTCTGTCACTATAAGGATGTAAATTGAAATAATCACATATTCAATTGAAATTTTTGAAAGTGATCACAAAAGCAAATAATATTCAACATGTATTTGAGATACCTTTTGACATAACTAGATAGAAGAAATGACTTTCTCTTAGAAATAAAATAAAATGATACAGCCTCACCGTATATATGAAGAGTGCACGAGCATTTCACGAGGGACTCTAGAACAAGAGCTTTAACAAATTCCAACCGTGACAACAACAATATCAACACATCTTTCTTCATTTACACCTTTCTAAGAAAACTCGCAATCTTTTATCAATGGAGTTTCTTGTTTATGCTTCTAGAGAACACACTCATTCTTCTTGCCACCAAGTCAATTAGATTTGAATATGTTACCTAATAAATGTCTTGATGTTGATATAAATGAAGCCCCATAACTTCTTCATAGAATCAAGACAATTTTCCTGCAAGATCAACAAGATACACTAGGTACAAAACTTTTTTGGATCCTTGAGGATAAGTAACACAATTGTTGCACTTAGGTGACCATTGAGAAATGCCATTAGGGATTGAAAATCTCTTAAGTTTACATTTGGCAATAGTATGACCTTTCATACAACAGTAGTAACAAGTTATGTTCCAAGAGATGTCAATTTTTCTATTCAATTTATTTTTAACAAATATGTACTTTTTATAAGGTGGATTCAAAGATTTGTTAAACTTTGTTGGATCTATAGAAAATGTGGCATTTGGTTGTTGTGCCTTGGTTAGTTTGGCCTTAAGAGTATTAACCTCTTTTTTCCAAATGTAGCAAGTCTCACGCCCAAAATTAAATGGGTTGTCATCTTTTTCATTTTTGACTTTTTGAACATCTACTATAGAGTGATTTAAAGCTTCCATTTTATTTTTCGTATTTGGAATTTTTTATTCTAAGTATGTAAATATTTTTCTATTTGAATTCAACTTTTTTAAGGCTTCGATAGCTTCTCAATGTAATGTTTCAAAAGCATCGAGTAAGTATAAATGAGACAATCTATCAACATATTTATTTTGAAAGGCTTTTACCTTATTTTTCATACCTCGTTAATGATGATGACTAGAGAAACAAATCTCATCACCTCTAGATGATTTAGAATTCTTCTTCTTATCTTCATGATAATGACTAGAGAGGCACACTTCATCAAACTTTGATGGATTGTGTTCCTTTTTCCTTATATTATTGAAGTGAGTTGAAAGGCAAAAGTTAGCCAATTCTTCATCATCATCAAATTCCTCATCGTTTGAAGATTCAATATCGCTTCCTCAAACCACATAGGTCTTCATAGGTTTGACATGACTTTTACATTGATTCCTCTTCTCATTTTTATCAAGGAGAGAATTTATTCCTTTAGATTTATCCTTCTTAGAGAATGTAGATTGTCCTTTAGGCTTATTAGACCTTTTGTTGAGGTTCTTTTCATTTTTATTTTTCAAGTAATTATGGTACCTTTTGACAAACAAACTCATCTCTTCGTCATCTGAATCATAGTTGTTACTAACATCACTATTATAAAGATGCTCATTCTTTGATGATCTTGAATTTGAAGTCCTAAGAGCTTTAGACTTCATTCCTTCCTCCTTATAGGTGTCTTTCTCTTGTTTATTCTTTTTCTCAAGCTTATTTTCGTGTTTATCCAAGCAAGTCAGTTCTTTCTTGTGTTCTTCCAACTTTCCAAGCAAAGTGTGAGATCAAGTGTTACAAGATTATTAGCTTCCTTGATCATCGTGACCTTTGGTTTCCAATTCCTAGTTAGACATCTCAAAATCTTGTTAGTAACAGTAGCATTAGAAATAGGATTACCTAGCAAGTTTAAACGATTACACTACGCCAAAACTGCTTTTAGGTAGCACACCTTAGACATCGCTTCAGTACAAAAGCGTTGCTATATGTCCCGATAAAATTTTAAATTTTAAAACTATATACATTAGACAGCGCTTTATAAAAAAGTCTTCCTAAGCCACACTTTAGGAAGCGCTTTATGAAAGCGCTGCCTGAGGTCAATTAAAATTGAAATAAAAAAAAATAAATTCTAGAAAGCGCTGCCTAAATTCAAAGCGCTGTTATATGCTTAACAGTATAAAGTGCTGCCATAGGCCCAAAGGGCTGCTAAAGCCACACTTTAGGCAGTGCTTTCTACTACAAAATTTATTTTAGGCGGCACACTATAGACAACACTTTTTTCCCAAAGCGCTGCTATCACTTTAAAAAAAATTGAGAAAAAGTGCTGCTAAAGGATTATTTTAGAAAGCGCTTCTGAAAAGTGCTGGTTAAGGCCATACATACCCACACTTTAGAAAGTGCTTCTAGAAAGCGCTGCTAAAGGATGTGTTTAGAAAACACCTCATATAAGCGCTGTTATAAATCATACATTAGAAAGCGCTTTTTTTTTAAAGAAAATGTTTTTTTTAAAAGCGCTGCTAAAGGAAATACATCAAAAAACGCTGCCTAAGATCATTAATTTCTAATTTCTAAATTAAAAATACGAAAAACCCTAAAACTAAAAAAAAAAATCCATATTCTCTCAAAACATCTTTCTCTGCAACTCTCGAATCTCTTATCTCTCTCAAAATAATCCTTTGATTCAATCACTATTTCTCCCGTTTTCGATCTCTATTTCTCCATCGCGGTTCTGTTCTTTTGATTCAATCGACGTTCCGTCGTGTTTGGGCTAACTTCGACATCGCTCGGGGCTAGAGATATCCTTGCTATTGTTGCTCTTGTTCAGTCCATTAGAGAAGCTCAAGAACCCTTCAGGTCTGTTTTTTGAATTCAATTAGTTGGTTGTTAGTTTCTACATTTTGATCCTAAAAATCCAATGATTATCCATCACATCCTCTGAACCCTAATTTCTTCAAACAGTGATGAGGCCAGTATTCACGAAGTTGTTCGGCTCATATCCTAAATAGCTTTCTCCAAAAAAAACCGCTTCACGATGAAGTTACATGGATGAAGGCTTCTACATTTTGATCGTTGTTCGACTTCAAGGTCATTGTCACCGGAATTTCTACGAAACCACTTTCAAGGCAAGCACGGTTTTCTGCCATATCTCGTTTGTTTTCTTACCTACTATAATAGGCATTTTGTATTATTACACACTTTAATTATATGAATGTTATACTTTTATTGATATGAATGATATATGTTTGACTAAATGGCTCATAGAAGTTGTTGGCGGCTAGTGTTAGAGTATCCTACATCGGACATTATTTTCTTTTATTCTAGATTTTATGATGCACTTTTTCTCTAATTGAGATCTTTGTAGTTAAGAAAACTAGAAAATTCACCACCTACAACACGGCCATTAAGGCTTGCTAGTGAGAGACTCAATCTACATGCCATACTTCTTTTTCACTGGTTATCAGTAGACACGAACACTATAACATTTCCAAGCCCTAAAATATTAGCTAGCCTAACCAAAATATTTTGAATATTAGATGAATTTATTATAGATAAACTTAATTAAATACTCTGACATATCATATCTTAAGATGAATTTATTAAAATTAACTGGTTGAGATGGTTTAAAATTAACTTATCATATCTCTGTTCTAATATTATTGAAGCACTTGCTGGAGTGGTTTCACTTGCATCTTCTGAAATTGATCACAATAAGATAAAGTTTTGAAACTTTGTAGAGGTTTCTTTGCTATTATAAAGCTTCCTATAATTGAATAATAATTCAATACCGTGCCTAGAAATTTATGTACCAAATTGTATTATATGCTTTATGTTTAGGCTACATTGTTAGAATATCTTATGAACAAGTGCTTGATTTTGCTTCCTACAATAATTTAGAATAAAGGCTTAGTTTAGTATATTGCGTTAGGGTTCTTAGTGGTCAATATAAGCTTCTTTTCAAGCAGAGGTTTGAGTTTTGAGCACTATTTACATGCTCAAATTAGATGAGAATGTACATAGAATAAATATACATAAAATTGTGCGAAAATAGATTCAAATGTTAATAACTCGTTATCACATATATTACAAAGTTAAGAAGAAATACCATTAATCTAATTAACAGAGCAATTGAAACTTACATATTAAAAGTTACTAAACTCTTAAGTAATGAGAAGATATTTGTGGCAGCGCACCGAGTTCTCTGAATCAAGAAATTCAAATGTCATATATATGATATAATTTTTCGGGACATAAATATTAACAACCCATAAAAACTAGTCATACCGATCCTTAGAAGCGATCAAGGAGAACCAAATAGGACCAAAATCTTTTTTTCTTTCAACTCTAGGTGGTGCAAGGAGGTTCAAGTCCTCTGAAAATCTCACTCTTTTTTCTTGGTTTGTGTCCACCCTTCTAATCTTAAACTTCAATGAAGTTGTTTTTGATGGACCATACTCATTTTGATCGCAACCTACTTCTGTTTGGTGGTCACAATGCTTGTTAATAGCATCCTTAGAAATGTTACGAGAGCCTCTGT